CCCCCGTACCAGGAATCGAACTCAGGACATTGTGCTTGCCAGGCAGGTGCTTATGCCACTGAGCTATATCCCCAGCCCCCTTTTTAAGATTTTATTAGTCATGTTTTCAGTGCATCATGGGTATATTCCTCTTGAGTTGGTGCATGTACACAATCCATCTTAATTCTCATCTGCTTTCCCTCCTCCCTCCCATCTCTTGGTCCCCTTCCAGTTGCAAAAGATGTTTCTTATTGTCTGTTTTTTTTTTCTGTTTATTTGTAATTTTGGTTTCTCATATGAGAGAAACCATGCATTATTTAAGCTTGTGTGTCTGATTTATTTAACTTAACACTGTGGTGTCAAGGTGTTTAAGGAATAATTTTGACACACTTCATCCATGCTTTTGTCCATGGTCTTCTATTTCATTGTGTGTTTGTTTTTTTTTTTAGGCTGACAGTGTCTTGCTGTTTAGTTCAGGTTGGCCTTGAGTTCACTGTGTAGCCCAGGCTGGTCTTTCTGAACTTGCAGCGATCCTCCTGCCTCAGCCTCCACCTCACAGAGTGCTGGAATTAAAGCTGTGCACCACCATATCTGGCATGCTTTTCTATTTCTTGAGCAAGTTTTATAATTTATATTTTTATAGAAAGTCATTAATATTATAAAACATTTAGGTAAACAGTGATTTTTAACTTTTTAAAAATTCTTTTTGTTTGCACTGTTAAGCTGCAGTTCTTATTCCTACTGGCATGCTGCATGTTACTAGATCTTTGAGAAATTATTCTTTATGTTGTTGTTTTTCAACTCCCACCAAAGTAGAACAAGCTTTTGAAACCATTTATTTCTCTCCCTCTCTTTCCTGTCCTCTCTTCCCTTTCGTTTCACCCCTGGCCCTTCTCCCATCCCCTGCCTGGCCCTCTGCCCTCTGCCCTCTGCCCTCTGCCCTCTGCCCTCCGCCCTCTGCCCTCCGCCCTCTGCCCTCCGCCCTCTGCCCTCTGCCCTCTGCCCTCCACCCCGCCCTGCCACACCCTAAGCCTCTCTGCCCTTTGCTCTTCCCTTCCTAGCTCTTCCTGTTGCCTCTCTTATCTCCCTTCTCTATCTTTCCAGGCTCTTCCTGTCTAGGCTTGGTCCTCAGCCTCCTGCTGTTCCCTGAATTCCCTCCAATGTTTTGCCTCTCTACTAGAAGTAATGTTGTCCAACCCACAGAGTGGGAAAAATTTTTGCCAGCTGTTTCTCGGACAAAGGACTAATATCTAGAATAATAAAGAATTTGGGAGGCTGAGGCAGGAGGATTGTTGCAAGTTCGAGACCAGCCTCAACTACAAAGTGAGCTCAAGGCCAGCCTGAACGGCATAGTGAGACCCTGTCTCAAAAAACAAAACAAAACAAAACAAAACAACCCAATAGGAACTAAAAACAATCAGACACCCCCCACCACCACCAAATTTAAAGACCCAGTGCAAAAGTGGGCATCCAGAGTGGATGGACACCTCTCAGATGAAGACATAGAAATGACAAATAAATATGAAAAAATGTTCATCGCTGGTCGTTTGAGAGATGTACATTTAACTTTTTTTTGGTACCGGGAATCAAACTCAGGACTTTCTGCTTGCCAGGCAGGTGCTTATGCCACTGAGCTATATCCCTGGCCCCAAAATTACCATTTTTGATAATATTGAGTCTTCTGCTTGATGACCATTTTTCATTTACTGTTTTTGGTACCTGGAATCAAACTCAGGACTTTGTGCTTGCCAGGCAGGCACATATGCCACTGAGCTATATCCCCAGCCCAAAAGTATGGTCTTCTCATCAATTTTTTTTTTTTTTTGTACTGGGAATCAAACTCAGGACCTTGCACTTGCCAGGTAGGCGCTTATGCCATTGAGCTATATCCCCAGCCTGAGAGATGTGAATTAAAACACTGCTGAAATTTCATATCACTTCACAAAGAATGGCTGTTATCGAGAAATCAACCAGTAACAAATGCTGGCAGTGCTCTGGAGAGAAAGGAACCCTTCTCCACTGTTAATGGGCATGTAGACTGGTGCAATCACTGTGGAAATCAGTGTGGAGAGTTCTCAGAAAACTAGGATGAGAGGTCCCATTTGTCCCAGCCATTCCCCTATTTGATATCCTCCTGAACGAATTCAAAGCATCATACCCCAGCGATATATGCACACCCATGTTTATAGAGGCACAGTTTTGTAATGGCTAAATCTTGAAGACAGCCCAAATGCCCATTAATGGGTGACTGGCTAAAGAAGATGTGGTTTTTATATACAATGGAGTACTACTCTGCCATAAAGAAGGATAAATTGGAGACATTTCTAGGTAAATGGGTGCACCTTGAGACCATACTCACATGTTTAAATACTGCATTGTCTCTGGTGTGAGAAATGGAAAGTAAAAATAAGGACCAAAATGTATAATAGACACTGGGAAATGGGAATAAAATATTCAAATGAGAAGGGGAACAAGGGAGGGGGAAGGGGGAAGGGAAAGAAGGGTCAAGAAAAGGAAAACATTTGTTCTTATGTATGTGTGTATGTATGTATGTGTGTCTTTTTGAGACAGAGTTTCTCTGTGCAGTCCAGGCTGGCTTTGAATTCACCTTGTAGCCCAGGCTGGCCTCCAACTCTTGGGATCCTGTTGTATCAGCCTCCCAAGCACTGGGAATACAGGCATGTGCCACCAGGCTCAGCCCATTTGTTCCTGTTTATCAGGAAAGCAGATGTCTTCGCAGAACTGGCTGCCTTTCCACCTCCTAAGCAGACCTATGTTGCCTCTCCCTTGTCTCTCCCTCCTGGCCTAGAAAGTTCCAAGCTAGGCCTTTAGTTAGGCCTATTTTTACCCTGAGTAAAAGTTCTTAAAAGTGGGAATAAATCTGATAAGTAATTAACAGTGCTTGTCCCAAAGACTGATCAGAAACTACTAAATTTACATGTAATTGGTGGTTAGTGTTTATTACATGGAAAAAATTTTATTATTTTTCAGTAAAATGAAAAGTATTTGTTTGTGATAAAGGCTTTCAGTAGTTTACAAATATATTATCAAACAGCATTTTACCTAGATGTTAGCAAATGCGTGTAAGCATATGTGCCTGTGTATTTTAAGAAGTGAGTGTTATGGTTTGACTATTTGCTTGTGACTAGTTTTTAGTTTACAGTGGTCAATTTTTAAGAATTTCATTTTAGCATTTGATGTAAGTTAGGAATTAGGAGATTTCCTTAGAGTTATAAAAATCCATTTTTTTATTAACTTTAGTTCTCTTTTTGCTTTCTATAGCATGTTGACTCAATTAAGAAACATCAGGGAGATAAATTCAACCCAGTGGTAAGTAGCCTTCATTTTTTTTGTTAGAAAGTTTTCTGCTTATTTTATTTTTAGGAGCACATGTTTGTAGTACATAATGTTTACATTCCTTCTGTGGAGTTGCTTCCTGGACATAACACGTCTTAATTCCTTTCTCATCCCTTTTCTGCCCACCTCCTTCCCCTCAACTCCCCCTCTTTCTGTTGATTTCCTTCCTGTTGAGAAAGAACCATCTCCCTACTTTCTATTATCTTTTATTTTGCTCTGATTTTTCTTTTCTGAGACAGAGTTTCATTATGTGTATGCAATTTAGGCTGACCTTGAACTTACCATGCAGTCTAGCCTGGCTTTGATCTGTGGAGCTCTTCCTGCCTCAGCTTCCGGAGTGCTGGGATTATAGTTGTGCAACACCATGCCCTGTTTTTATTTTGCTTTTGATTTATAATTTGGGTTTCTCATATGAGAGGAATCGTGTAATATTTAAGCATGTGTGTCTGATTCATTTCGTCCATCCATTTTCCTATAAATGACTCAAGTTTATCTTTATGGCAGAGTAGTACTTCATTGTGTGTAAATGCCATCTTTTGCTGCTATAAACATGAGTGTACATGTATCACTATAATATGTTGTCTTGAATTCTTTTGGGGAGATACATAGAAGGGGTGAATAGCTAGGTTGAGTGGAATTTCTAGTTTCAGTTTTTTGAGGAATTTCCATACTGATTTCCATAGTGATTATACTAGTTTGCATTAGTACCAACAATATAGAAGGAATGGTTCCTTTTCCCCCCTGCAGTCTTGCCAGCATTTGTTATTATTTGATTTCTTGATGATGGCCATTCTTTCTGGAGTACAGTGGAATCTGGTGAATTTGCACTTCTCTAATGGCCACTGATGTTGAGCATTTCTTCATGTGTTTATTGACCATTTGTACTTTTTCTTCTGTAAAGTGTCTGTTTGTTTCACTTGCCAGTTTTTGATTGGGCCTTTTATTACAGGAGTATGTTTCTTGACTTCTTTTGTAGTCTAGAGAGGAATAGCTGTTAAGATCTTTTCTCATTATGCAGATTGTCTCTTTTTACTCTGTTGGGTGTTTTTTTGCTGTGTAGAATGGAAGCTTTTTAATTTGATGTGATCCCATATGTTGATTCTCAGTTCTGTTTCCTGTACAGTTGGGGTTTTGTTCAGAAAGTCCTTGTCTGTGCTTATGACTTCAAGAGTTTTACCTATTATCTTTCCTCCAGTGTATGTTTTTGGCCTGTTTGTCAAAGATCAAATAACTGAATTTGCATCCTTTAGTCTAATAGTTCTTTTGATTCTTATGTCTGTTTTTATCACCATGCTGTCTTTATCACTGTAGCTTTGTAATATAACTTGAAGTTCAGGATTATGACAACTCTCGGTTTGGCTCATGTTATTCAGGATTGCTTTTGTTTTTTGATATAGGGTCTTACTATGCAGTTCAGGCTGGCCAGGCTGGCCTCAAACTCAGAGTGATCTTCCTGCCTCAGCCTTCGGAGTGCTGAGATTATAGGTATGTGCCTCCATGTTCAGCTAGGACTGCTTTTGCTATTCTGGGTATCTACTGGTTACACATAAATTTTAGGATTTTTCTCTTATGTCTGTGAAGAATACTGGAGGTATTTTGATGGATTGTGTAAATCTGTATAGCAATTTTAGAAGTATGTTCTTTTTGACAACATTGGTTCTGTCTATCCAGCAACAGGGATGTTTTTCTGTTTTCTGATGTCCTCTTTGATTTTTTTTTTTAACAGTACTGTAGTTCTTCTTGTAGTGATCTTTCACTTTCTTAGGTTAATTCCTAAATATTTAATTTTTCTTGGTGCTATTATGAATAGTAGTTTTTTTGCTAATTTTTTCTCAGGTTAATTATTGGTTGTGTAGAATGATGTTGACTTTTATGCTTTGATTTTATATTGTGCTACATTATTGAGTTTGATTTTTAATTCTAACAGTCTTTGATGGAATATTTTGGATCTTCTATGTAGAGGATCATGTCATTTGCCTAATGATAACTTGCTTTGTTTTTTATACATATCTCTTTTACTTCTTTCTCTTGCCTCACTGCTCTTGCTCATAATTTCAAGAACTACTTTATGTTGAACAGGAGTGGTTATCTAAGGTATTTCAGGGGCTGGGGATTTAGCTCAGCGGCAAAAAGTGCCTGCCTGGCAAGCGCAAGGTCGTGAGTTCGGTTCCTGGTACCAGAGAAAAACCAAAAAAAAAAAAAAAAAATCTAAGGTATTTCATTAATTGGTTACCAACATAGCTCTTTCTTCTGTTTGAGACTGTGTCCTCATATTGATCACTTCTGTTCCCATAGTTTTGATAGAAGTTTTTGTCTTCTGAATTTCTATTTGGAGCCTTTTTGTGAACTGTAGTTTGTTTCTATGCTGGTCATTCATGTTTTACATCATTGTGGTTCACTCTCTTAGCTTTATTAGTATTTTCTGTATTCTTGCTAATCATTTTATTTGGTCCATTTTCTGTTTGCTTGTATCTTTGGTGAGCTTGCCAAATACTGTCTTGCCTTGTTTTATTATCTCTCTGATAGCATTTAATAATTCTGGCATGTGGCTTTTCATTTTTCTCCTCTTCAATAACCCATGGATCATCTTTGGGGGAATTGAGAGTGTTTGGAAGCATTTTTTTTGGGGGGGGGGCTTTTCCTCCTGTGTTTCTATGTTTTATTGTTTATTTTTACGTTAAGGCTTATAGGTTGATTATAGTGGAAAGCTTTGTTTCTAATAGGGAAACGGTTTTCATTAATGTCCACTTTTCATTATGCTGTTTGGGTGTGGTTGTGGGCCTTTGCCTCTGTCCCAGAATCCAACCACCTCTGTTTACTTGCAATGGGAGATTGCAGTGTATTTGGCCCAGTACTTAGTTTTCCAAGAAGGCGCCACAGTATATTGGTAATAACCCCAAGTCACCAGGTATTGACATCCTAAGAAAACTAGTTAATAGCACCTGCTTGTGACCTTGGCTATAATGATAAAATTGGCATCAATTTTAGCATCAACAACTGTCAAAAAACCCTTAGAATCTGTACACCACCTTTAACTATAGAAGAGATCTGTAATTATAGAATGAATACAAAGACAGACCAAATATTAACCTACAGTAAATATCTACTAATTTGAACAACTTTACCTCTAATAACAATAGACAGTATTCAACTGGCACAGTGTAAAGTTACCTATCTATCTATCTACTCAGTGCTTAATAGTATACTAGTAAAGAGGGTGAGGAACCTGGAAATGAAAAAAGCGAAATTGGAAAAATTAATCTATGGGATATGAGAAGAAGAAGAAAAGTGAGTCAGAGGGTCCTGTTGAGGAGTATGAAGGATATTAAGTGTTAGAGAACAGTTATAGGAAAAACAAACAAGAGAAAGAAGAAAAAAGCTAAACAGAGAGCAAAATACAGGAAATAAAGGTAAGGAAGAGAAAAAAAGTTGAAAGGGGAAAAGAGAAAAGAAACTAAAAGAGGAGAGAAAATCCCATACTCTAAAAGCTTCATGAAGGAAATATAAAAATAATTAAAAAGTAGAAAAATTTTTAAAAATGGAGTCAAAGAAAAATTCCTAGACTGAGCATTGTGGTGCAGGCCTATAATTCAGGCACTCAGGAGGCAGGAAGGTAGGAAGATTGCACAAGTTCAGGGGCAGCCTGGGCTACATAATGAGTTCAAGGCGAGTGTAAACTATGTAACAAGGCCCTGTTAGACCAGAATAGGCTTTCTCCCTATTGATTATTTCTTTGTATTATTGTGTTTTATTTTGTCTTTTTGAGACAGGGTTTCACTATGCAGCTCAGGCTGGCCTTTGAACTAACTTTGCAGCCTAGGCTGGCCTCGAACTCCCAGTAATTCTCCTACCTTAGCCTCCTGGGTGCTGGGATTACAGGCATGTGTTACCACACCTGGCTGTATTATTGTGTAAAGGAGGGTCTCTGTGTGTATTTTTACCCATTTACTATTATTACTAATTTATCCCTCTCTCTTCGAGGATTGAGAAGGCTTTTTAATTTTTTTTTGTCTTTTTGAGATAGGGTCTCACTATACAGTTTAGGCTGACCCTGAGCTCACTTTGTAGCAATGATCCTCCTGCCTCAGCCTCCCGAGAGCTGGGATTACAGGCATGCACCACCACACCTGGCTGAAAACGCTCTTTTAAAAAATTTTTTTCTAATTAGTAGTTTTTATTCTGTATAATTTCCATCTACAGACTTATATAAAACTAGGGTCCATTTTTATTGACTCTGAGCCCATTAAATTTAATTTGAAGTCTCAGAGGTGGGCATGCTTGCAGTCTCATTTACCATGGAGGCTGAGACAGGAGAATCACTTGAACCTAGAAATTTAAGCTTGGGCAGTATAGGGAAACCAAGTTTCAAAAAACAAATAAAATATTGGATTTAATCTGAGCTCTTCATAGATTGTAGCCGTGGACAGATTTCCTTTGATTTGAAAACTGCAGCCTCCAAGAGCCATGGATTCATTTAATCTTCCTTTTCTGAATTCACAGTCCTTTCTAAGAAGTTCTGCTGTTACTGTCTGTTTGCAACATGATTAGCTTTATAGAAAATTCTTGGAAGTTGTTTTGATTTTAACAAGTATTTTACCCTATGAATTGCTTTATTCCTTAAGTTTCCTGTATCACAACTAAAATAAATACACTCTTTTAAGTCACATATAGTTGGGAATAACAATACATGTCTTTTATTATTAGGCATTATATTCCCAAATTCAGAATCACTTCTGGGAAACGAATTTTTAGGTGATACTTTCCAAGTGCTTAGGTACTACTAAATTAAATAAGTATAAATATATAGTAATTAAACTATGGTATGCCAGAATCATAATTGGAGACATTGAACCAGCACTGAGTAATAGAATTTACTACACTGATGGAAGTGTTTTGTATCTGTTTGGTATATTGTGGTAATGACTTGTTACCAGTGACTATTGAGCACTTAAAAATAGAGCTAATGTAACCAAGAAATTGCATTTGATTTTTATTTAGTTTAATACTGAGTTTAAATAGCCCCAAGTGTCTAGCAGCCACCATATAGGACAGAACAAATCTTTTGTATCTGTTTTTTTTCGGGGTACTGGGAGTTGAACCCAGGACCTTGTGCTTGCCAGGCAGGCACTGTGCTGCTTGAGCTGTATCCCTGGCCCTTGTATTTTTTTTTTTTTTTTTTTTAACTATGCTCCTAACTTGCTATCTAGAACAAGAAATTTTCTATTTTTTTGGTAGAATTTAAAAAACGATCTCATAAGTCCACAAAATAAGCTAAATTCCCCTTTAGCAGTTAATTTTTTGTACTTGTTGAATTATTTATTTATTCCTGTTGGTAAAATATGCCTTTATGTAAATGCAGTTTGTTACCAATTATTCAGTAACTTTATTGTATATTTTTTTTGACAAAGATTTTTAGATGGACACTCCCTCTTCCTCATTCAAACACAGGCCTCACATATAGTAGCCAGGTGCTCTACTACTAAACTCTACTCCCAACCCTAGATAGGATCTTGGTTTTTTTCCTGTAGTATTGGGGATTGAACCTAGGATTTTCTCAATGAATTATATTCCCAGCCCTTTTTTAAAATTTTGAGACAGGTTCTTGCTTAGCTGCTGTCTTTCTTACTTTTTCATTGCTGGAACAAAACATTCGGCACCCTCAAGTTAAAGGAAGAAAGGTTTATTATAGCTCACGGTTTGCAGAGGTTTCAGTCCATAATCAGCTGCCTCCAGGGCAGTGCTTACATGACAGAAGGGCACGGCAGGCAATAAAGCAGCATTGAGCCTGCCCTTCCCTGTCTACCTTTATATTCCACCCAGGCTGCAGGCCCACTGGTTGGCACCACCTGTATCCAGGGTGCGGCTCCACCTTCAATAAATCTGATCAGCTACACCCAGAACTATGTCAGTCTAACCAGTAGACTGATCCAGTTACCACACAACCCTTAGTCTGTATTCGTACACCCTTGATCCAGCCATTTCTAAACCCCCTCTCCCCCCCAGTGAGTGCGTGAGGCTATAGGAGGACGTCTAGGTACAAGCCGTAATAGTCTGCCTAGTCTTGGCTTGTGTTCATAATCCTCTTGCTTTAGTCTTCCAGGGTGTTGGGATTATAGACTGCCTCAATACACACACACATTTTTTGTTTTCAAAATCTCCAAAAAGTCAGTAGTGAAGATCTTTTGGTATTTTAATAGTTTTGAGGCACTCTTAGAGCCAAAAATAAAAGAAAAATCTTTGTTGTGTTAAAGCGTTTTTGAGAACCATGAAAGCAGGCTAGGCTTGGTGGTACACACCTGTGATCCCAGCACAAGGCAAGATTAAGCAACCTGAACTACGTAGTGAGACCCTGCCTCAAAACAAGTTTCTGTAGAAGCATATAAATGGTTATTTTGTGGATTATTTTATGAAGTACAGAAGTTTGAGTTTAATACAAAATCCATGAGATAAAAATGTGGATACTAAAGCAATGTTAAATGGATTCCACTGGATGTGTGTAGCCAGGGGAGATGTGTATCTTTGGAATGTGAATTTGTATAAATGAATCAGAATAATTTGTTCTGAAAAATCGATATGTATGTTTCAATTAAATTTGTTTTTGTTTGAATATTACAGTATCTAAAAATGACTACAAAACGAAGTTTGTTTGTGCGGTTGGTACCCTGTCGCTGTCTACGAGGGGAAGAGGAGACTGTCACTACTTTGGATTACTCTCACTGCAGTTTGGAACAGGTTCCCAAAGAGATTTTTACATTTGAAAAAACTTTGGAGGAGCTCTATTTAGATGCTAATCAGATTGAGGAACTTCCAAAGGTATGTTAATATTGTCTTACTTTGTGTGTTTTGAGACAGGATTTCACTGTGCAGTTCAGGCTGGCCTTGAACTCACTTTGTAGCCCAGGCTGTCCTCAAACTCAGCAATCCTCCTGTCTCAGCCTCCTGAGTGCTAGGATTACAGGCGTGTGCCACCATGCCTGCCTGCACAGTTTGTTAATATGTGGATATGTGTTGCTTCCATTTTTCAGTTCAGTTGTACCTGAATGTATGTAGGCCAATTGAGATTATTACTGTTCTTGAATTCTAATTCATACCTCTTTTTGTTTGTTTTGTTTTTAGTCTTTTTGAGATACAGTCTTGCTATGTATGTAGTTCAGGCTGTCCTTGAACTCACCATGTAGCCCAGACTAGCCTTGAACTCAAGGTGATGCTCCTTCTGTTAGGATAGTCTGCTTCTAAAAGTGCCTCACCAACTAAATGTTACTGGGATCTGGGTTGCTTGCCTTTCCCTCCGGAGTTAGAGTCCAGGTTCTTCTTGTCCTCAACGAAGAATTAAACAAAACGAGCAAGTAACGAAGTTTATTCAAGAATGTGAAAATGAAGAGTGAGGAAAAAACTGGCTCTGCAGAGCAAGCTTGGGCTGAATAAAAGGAAAAAAAGCAATAAAGGACACCTTGGCGAAAGCAGGGTGGCCTATCATTAGGAAATGCAGCATAGTGAGCTCTTCTTGGCATCTGTGCCCTTTTGAACTGTTCAGATTTTGGGGAAACCTGCAAGAACTGGGTCCTCAGAGGTGGTGCTGGCATCCCATACCTCATGTAAGGTCTAGGCTGTCCTATTGAAAACCTGCTTGAGTTCTTGCAAGAAGTCCACTTGCAGGGCTTGGGAATTGTTCTGTGCATGTGTCCAAGATCTTGTAATTAACAGATCAGGCCTACTTCCCCAGCCAGTTTTGCCACACCCATCTTAGTTACTTTTGTCCTTGGTGAGACAAAAATACCCAACACCCAAAGTTAAAGGAAGGCCGGGGACATAACTTAGTGGCACAGTGCCTGCTTGGTAAGTGCAAGGTCCTGAGTTTGATGCTGATACCAAAAAAAAAAAAAAAAAAAAAAAGTTAAAGGAGGAAAGATTTATTTCGCTCACAGTTTGTAGAGGTTTCAGTCCATAATCTGGCTGGCCCCAGGGCAGGGTAGCATGGCAGGCAGGAATTGCAGAGGAGAAATGGTACATGATGGGCAGAAGGTAGCAAAGCAACGAGGGGGAAGATAAGTCTCTTTCTGTTCCTTGTATTGTATGAAGGCTACCGGGATTAGGGTGGTGCCAAACCAATCTAAACAACTTTTAAAATGTTGTGTTGTTTCTCTGATTTTATAATTTGTTTGGAATGGTTTTGGAAGACCTACAGATCTGGTCTTAAAGACCTTAAAGATCTACTAACTGCTGGGAGGAAAATGTTTATTACTATGAAATACTCTCAAATTATTACCTTGTTTCTTTACTAATTTTTTTTAGTGTGTTTTTTCTTTTCCTCTCATCATTCTGTATACCATTTCCTAGGTTTCATGCAAAAACTGCAGTCACTTTTAAGCCACTCAAACAGCAAACTTTGATGCTGAGCCACAGAGACTCATTGATGGCTCATAAAATAGTTTAGCATGTATAGTCAGCACTTTGAAAAATAAACTGTAGTTTGGACTGTGAGTTTTGTTGTTGTTTTTTTGGTTTTGGTTTTTCTCCGGTACCAGGAACCGAACTCACGACCTTGCGCTTGCCAGGCAGGCGCTTTGCCGCTGAGCTAAATCCCCAGCCCCTGGACTGTGAGTTTTGAAAAACAAAATTTTTGCACATGTAGGTAAATAAAAATTTTCACCTGAATGAGAAATATTTTTAATTATGTTTTGTGCAATATACATGATATACTAAAATTACTTATTATTCAGCTGAAGTTCATATTTAATTGGACATCTTGTGTTTAATCTGGCAATTCCAACCATAAAATGTTTCATGAATATGTTTCATAATATGTTTCATGTTTCAGATTTTTATGTGTGTAAACATGCTAAATGGGAGTGTACAAAGGCTATTTTCTGCTGACCACTAGTAAAATCCTTTGGAAAGCTACAGCTGTCCTGGATAATTTTATAAACCTATAATGGCTATGGATAAATATTAAAGGTTATCATTTACATGTTTATGAATTATATGCATAGATTATGGTAGGGTGCTTTATAGTTTACTGTTCTTTGTTGTGTGTTGTTCTTGGGCATGTAATGTAATAAGAAAGTGGCCAGTTCTAATAGAGGAGGTGGAAGGACCTAGTCATCACTTTTCCCTATTCACAACCAGTAGGGTCTCAATCGTGTTGAAAAGAGAGAGGCTTGCTCTAATAGTGCAAATAACTCCGTCATTTATCTGACTGTTACCTATCAATTTTATATTTTTGGAAAAATGTTGTTCTTAAATATGGCTTTCATTTTGGAATAAGATTGCATGAAAGGTAAACTCCAGAGCTTATCGTATTTAATGACCACTTTTTCTTTTTCTATTACTGTTGATTGAACCTAGGACCTTTACACTAAACTATATCCCCAGTTCTCTTTTCATTTTTTTTTAATCTTTGAGACAGGATCTTGCTAAATTGACCACAGTAGGTTCAAGCTTGTAATCCTCGTAGCTCAGCCTCCAAGAGAACAGAGATTACAGGCATGTGCCGTATACCCAGCTACCCACTTATTTTTTTACTACCTCAACAGGTAGTGTGACCATGTACTTACTCTGAGTGGGTTTTGCTTATCAGAAATATGAAGATGTAAATCATTTGAAATGATTCAGATATATTCTGCTCTAGAATGACATCAGAATATTGAAATATCTTTCCTGGTATCAGTGTGTAGTATAACTCAATTTTTAAAATATGACTAAAATATTAATTTATATAAAAGTTAATACATGAAATATTTAGAAAAGCTGAAAATAATCAAAATCCTTTCCTCTCTTTTGTCAATAGCAACTTTTTAACTGTCAGTCTCTACACAAACTGAGTTTGCCAGACAATGATTTAACAGCGTTACCAGCGTCCATTGCAAATCTTATTAATCTCAGGGAACTGGACGTCAGCAAAAATGGTAAGGTCCCCCCGCAAAGGTTTTGTACTTGGAAACATGTTTAAGTAAGATTTCTTTTGTTTTTATAAATAAAAATTTGATTAAAGTCAAATTATAGTGTATTATATTAGCTTTATCTGAGAGTACATTTATTTTACATAAATTTAAAGACTTTTTAGTGTTACAGTCTTGGCTTGGAATTTTTTTTTTTGAGGCAGGGTTTTGCTGTACAGTTCTTGCTGGCCTTCAGCTCACTTTGTAGCCCAGGCTGGTCTCAAACCCGCAATGATCCTCCTTGCCTCAGCCTCCTGAGTGCTGGGATTACAGGTGTGTTTGGCTTGGAATTTGTGTAAATCTAAAATCTATGATAGTTTAAAGCAGATGAAAAATAAGTCTTAACTTTTTTTAAAAATCCATTTTGAACTGCAGTCATCAAGTGGTATAGTAAATGTCTTGAACTTGTTCTTCTAGTCTAACCCAAATTTTGTACTGTTTGATGAAAATATCCCAGTCCTCCAACCCCCTTCCCCTTAATTACTGTTTTACTCCCTGCTTTTATGAGTTTGCCTTCTGAAGATTGTATACGTAAATGAGATTATGTAATATTTGTCCTTTAGTTTCTGGCTTACATTGCATAACATAATATCTTCTAGAATCATACATGTTGTCACAGATGACAGGATTTTCTTATTTTGAATCTAGGTCCTTGCACATATTAGACAAGTGTTCTATCACTGAGCTACATCCACAGCCCCTAGATGCTTCTTAGTTGATTTAATTTCTTTTGGATATGTACCCAGTAGTGAGATTGTTGGGTCATATGGTAGTTCTGTTGTTCACTTTTAAAAAAGGTACCTCCATATTATTTTCTGTAATGAGTATACTAATTCAATTTCACCAATGGTGTCTAAGGATTCCCTTTTCTCTATATCCTTACCCACACTTGTTATTTTTAGCTTCCTTACCCTCCTGCTCCCTCTCTCTCTCTCCTCTGTCCTCTCCTCTTTTCTCTCTCCTTCCTTCTTTTTCCTTGTACCTTTCCCTTTTCCCTCCCCTCAGCCCCTGTCCTTCAATGGCTTTGCTGAGGATTGAACCCAGGGCTTCAGGGATGCTAGGCAAGTACTCTACCCTTGAGCTGTACCTGCTTCCCTCTGTTGACATTCTAACAGGTTCACTGTGCTATTATACTTAATTTACATTTTTATGATGATTAGCCATGTTGAACTTTTTTATATAACTTTTGTCTGTCTTCTTTTGAGAAATACCCATTCAGATACTTTATCCATTTTACAATCTAGTTTTTTTGCTGTTTGATGTCCTTATATTTTAGATATTAACAGGTAACAGCTTATGAACATTTTTCTCCCATTCAGAAGGTTGTTCCTTTATTCTTTTGCTTGGTTGTGAGGAGTTTTTTAGGTTTTTAGTTGTACGTAATCTATTTGACTATCTTTGCTTTTCTTGCCTGTGCTTTTGGGGTTGCAATAAAAAAAAAAAAAATTGTCCAGACAACTCCCATGCTCCAGAGTGCTGTGGGCCCTTTTCCCTTGTTATTAGTTTTTTTTTGAGCAGGATCTCACTGTGTAGTACAGGTTGGCCTTGAACTCAGCAGCGATCCACATACCTCAGCCTCTTGAGTGCTGGGATTACAAGTGTGTGCCACCATACCCAACTGGCCTTTCCTTTTAAGGAAGAGTAAATAGAAAGCTTGGGGCGAAAGCAAATCTTTGAACCTGGGATAAACTGGTGAAAAAGCTTTTTCTCTTTAAAATTAAAAGAGGTTATATTGATTAAGAGAGTATTACATGTGGCTGGGGAAGTCACCGTGTTTGCTCTTAACAGTTTAAATTGCTAAAACTACGATTTGCTTTATAGTGAGCACTGAGCACAGTCATGTTGTAAATTGACCTGAAACTGAATGTTTTGACTCATTATCAGTGGATACTGTGAAGTTTTTTTAATAAATATAGACTTTAACTGAGGCGTGCAACCATTGGGCTTTACTGTCCGCCTTCATTGTGTTACATCTGACCTGGGTCATACATCTATCATCCTCTGACAGCTAATCATTTGACTTTTTTAATTCCTGGGTTAGACTGTTTTGACTAGGACTCAGTGTTCTGTCCTATTTGTTGTCATGGTCTTTCAGTGCAGAAGCAGTAAGGTACTGTTAGTTTAAATTCAACAATTAGGACACTGGGGAGTTTATGCCCTCCAGGCAAAGACCAGAGAAACTCATTGTTAAAGTTGAGTCCAACAATTTGAGTTTATTACTTTTTGCAATGAGCAAAAACCCATAGGTGGGAATTCCTGTGAATCTTGGGTTATGGTTTTTTTTTTTTAAACTTACAGGACTTGGACATTTGGTAATTTTGGGTTAGATTTAAGAAAATATGGTAAGTTTGTTTAGGAGAGATGCTGTGAAGCAGGGGAATTCTATGATTAGATATCTTAAATCTTTATAGAAAGAACAGATTAGAAAAAGGCCAAAACTATTATTTGTTAAGATACAGTAATCATTTTAGTTGAAAGACAAGGATGTTTGGAGTGTTTTGGCTTAGACAGTGGTCATGTTTTGGCTTTGTTAAAAAATGATTAGAATTTTTTTTCCTGGTCTTCGAATGTCATATTGACAGAATGGCCTAGTCTGATGCTGATGATTGTGAAATAGTTAGTTCACCATAACCCCAAGGTCTCCCTTTGAATGCCAGGCTAATTTGTAGCAGGACCAAGGGCTAGCTAAAATTATCAGGCCAGTTTGAAGGGATGAGGAATTATTTTTAGTTTATCAGAATTAAAGAGTTCTTTTCTAGTGAGGAAGGTGTGAAGATAGTTATGTTTTATAATATCTAGTGCTTCATTTTGTTTGCTAGACAGTCTTACAAAAAATAAACCACAGAAAGAAGACTGTTATAGTTAAGTGAAAATGAAAAGGAAACAGTTGAAATTGTTAGAGAATTAAAAAGTAGGTTGTGATAAAATTTATGTCCATGTTCTTTATAAGAACAACAGGAGCCATCTTTGTAGACTAGCTGTGTTACAGTTTATCTCCAAAACATCCCCAGTAGTCTCAAGTATTCAAAAGTGGGGCTTTCAGGAAGTGATGGGATCATGATGCTCTCTCCTCATCAGTGGATTAATCTTAACTGAGTATGCCTGTTACAAGGTAGTGTCTCCAAATTGTCTGTGTAGTAAGAATAATTCTTGTACTAGTTCTGCTGTAATCATTTTTCTTTGGAAATATATTGTTCATTTTTTCCAAAAACAAAAGAGAAGTGAGGACTGATGAGAGGAATTGGGTCAGTGGGGACATGACCTGGAAGTATATATTGTCCTCTTTTGTATCACTCACTATTTTACTAGAGACAGATATAACCCAAGATATGCAAATATTTAAGAAATCAGAAGATTGGCTTACGATGGTCACCCACAGAGTTGGATGAGGTAGAGTGCAGAGGGTGTCTGCATGTTGGAGACGGAAAGATTCAGTCCAAGATCTGGAGCTCAGTGCAGTGTCCTGTGCAAATCTGAAGGAGGAGGCTGATGGGTCTGTGGTGGAAGACTGAAGGATTTGAGGTGGAAGCCAAACACTGCACTAGAAGCCAGGAGATGACATCTAAGTTGAAGGCAAAGACTGGAGCTCCTCCAAAGAACAGAAGCAAGTCTGTCCTTCCTCATTTCCCTTTATACCATTCAGGCCCGGGAAACACCCTAGGCAGATCCTCTACACCCTAGGGTGTAGAATTGCTGAGCTTAGTTAAGGTTCTAAACTTAAGTTAACACAATCAGTCAACCATTACATTTTCATTTTGTTCTCTTTGCTTTCTGATTTTCGTGAGTTGTGCTGCTTTTCTCTGCCATGGCCCTTCCTCTGTGGCATTTCTGCCTGAGATCCAGCCAGCCATATACTATAAACTGAGCCAAAACTAAACCTGTCCTCTTTAATTATTGGCTGTCAGATATTTAAGCCAGTGATGGAAAAGAAAGATACACTAGCCAACACAAGTGTTGAGTGAGGTAAAGCCTCCTTGAGAAAGTAGTTGAGCAGGAGTTTGAGGAGGTAAGGAAGTTTGCCATGTAGGTTGTGAAGTGTGTACCAGAAAGGGAACAGCTAATGGAAAATGTTTGTAGGGTGCGAGTTTCCATAGCATGTGTGAGGATTGCAAGGTAGCTAAATACCAAGATGGGAAAGTGACAGGACTAGAGGACGGAGGTCGGGGTTTGAAGGAGCAGATCATGGATTGCCTTGTAGGCATTTGTAGACACTTTGATATTTATTCTGAAGAAAATAGTTACTTGGAAAGTTTTGGGTAGATCATTCAGAGCATGATGTGGCTTGTGGTTAGGTTTAGTCTGGCTGAAGAAAGAGTCTGTAGGGATATGGATTCAAAACCAAGTTCAGGTGCTATTTCAGTACCTGAAGTGATGGTGTTAGAAATAGTGAGATCTGGACAGATTCTGGATATACTTGAAGGTGGAATCCACAGCATTTCATAGTGGATTGAGTGTGGAATCTGAGAAAAGTGTCAAGGATGACCGGTTATTTTTGTCATACAACTGGAAGGATAAGATTACTATCAGCTGAGGTGGAAAAATCTGTGGGGTCTGTAATTTTTTAGTGGAATAAGCCAGGACTTCAGTTTTTTGAGATATAAGGGCAGTGGAATTCAGTTAAGGGAAAAAAACTGCTGGAGGTATGTCTTGGTTACTTTTCTCTCCTTACTGAGACAAAATACTGGACACCCAAAATTAAGGAAGGAAGGGTTTATTTAGTTCACAGTTTGTGGAGGTTTCAGTCCATAATCAGCTGGCTCCAAGGCAGGGTGGCATGGCACAGGGGCAACATCCTAGAACTATAGGGGCATGTCCTTTTCACCCCAGGATGTAGAACTGCTGAATTACTTAGTTTAAGTTTCTCTAGACTGCTCAAGTTGATACAATGTATTAACTATAACAAGATACATATTTGGGATACTTAAAGCCAGAGACTAGATGTATTCACCAAGGGCATGAATATGAAAAAGCGGAAGCCCAAAGAGTGAGTCTTGTTTATACTTTAATATTAGCAGATCTGGAAGAATAGTAAAAAGGTATACAAAATAGTGAGAAAGAATACTGTTGGAGTAGGAAGAAACCAAAGTGCTGAAAATACTTGTTTTTCTTACTACATTTTAACTTTTTTAACTTCTCCTGAAGAGGACCTTATCTTTAATGATCATAATTTATAGCGTAATGTCTCCTACTTGATGTATTTTGGTGTGTACAAGATAGATAACTTCCATATGAGGTATGTTGAGTTTGAGGAGCCTAAACAAAATAAAAACTACAATAATGCTGATTTTTAAGGATTTTGTTAAAGTAAGTGCCTGCCAAATTATTTTAATTTTTCCTTTAATTGAAAACTATTTTTTTGGAAAGATCCTTGAGACTGTACTAATAGCCTGTTTAATCATCATATTTTTTACCCAATAACTTTGGCATCCATTGGTGGACTTTTTGTGGTGTTTTTGGTTTTGCTTTTGGTCTTAAGGATTTGTCCATGTTTAAGCATATACTTACTGTACCACATAGCTGCACACCCAGCCTTTTGGTGAATTTTGACCACAATGGTTATTAGTGTGGTATTAACTAGTTGGTAATTTTGTACCCTTCAGTTTTCGTTTCTGTATGCAGCATAGTGGTAAAGTTGCATCTAGTAGTGGAGTTGAAAGGTTCTTAAATAACTCTTTATAAACAACTCTATTAGGTGATCATGTTAATGGGAAGGAGATGGGGTCTTTTTCCATAAATTATTCTTGGAATTTTTTTAAACGTTACTAGCATTTTTTAGTCTAATTAGAACAATACTACTTAAAGTTGATCTCTGGACTGGTGCTAATTCAATAAATTCTTACTATATTTTTGCTGTGATAAGTTTAGGATATGACTATGTCTTTAGAATCTTTTACCAAAATTTGACATTTTTACAATAATTACATGACAGTTTGCAAATGTATTGGGCTACGGCAGATTGGAAATTTAAAAAAAAAAATCCTTTGCCTTACTGGTTTGGAAAGTGTTGTCTAGATGGACACTTAAAAGCTGAAATGTCTAGTAGATTTCTTGAATATGTACGTCATAGTGTGCAAAAATCACTGCATTCTTATATGTGAGCATTCCACTGGATTATATGAAGAAAAAACTTTCCCTGAGAAAGAGAATGTGAAACAAACTGGCAAAAAAGAAAGGGATAGGAAAGAAAAAGTGTTAATTATTGGTAGTCAGTACTGGCTTCAGGCATGTTTCTGGGAATATCTGATACAGATTTTCTACCACTTCTGTTAGTAGCTTTGTTTTTAGCTTTGTTAGTTAATGTAGATTGGGGGCTGGCTCAGGCTGGAGCCCATCATTTTAAAATTGTTTTTTAAAGCAACCCTTTTTATGCGAGAGAAGCAGAATGTTAAAGGTCCTGCATTTGTGAGTTTATCATCATAGAGAAGATCCTGACTTTCAGAAGAGCTAAAACACGAAAAGAAGGTAAACCAAAGTCATTAGTAGTTACAGAGACAAAAAGATAAAATAGAAATGAGAAATTGTTGTGAGTTCTGTTTAGTTTGGTGTGGTGGTGTTAATTTTCTAGTTCCTGCTATTGGTAAGTTACTTTCTGAATCTGCAGGGTATACTGTGATTATAATTGGTACATCTTTTTGCCATTCTTTTAATTTGGTCACTTTTTGTTTTCTAGGAATACAGGAGTTCCCAGAAAATATAAAAAACTGCAAAGTCTTGACAGTTGTGGAAGCCAGTGTAAACCCTATTTCTAAGTAAGTTCTCAGTTGAATTGTAAATTACTTTTCTGAATAAAACAGTTGTAAAGCAGCAGTAGAATACTACTTTACATATTTTAGTGAGGAATTTGTATCATTTGTAAGCTATTCAAAGAACTGACTTGTAGAATTAGAAGGGAACCTTTGGACTAGATGTGTACCTCAGTGGTAGTGTGCTTGCCTAGCATGCATGAGGCCCTGAGTTCCATCCCCAGTACCACAAAATAATCAGTCAATCAAACTTCAGTAAAGATGACAAATAATTTAAAAATAATTTTAAAAACCTTTTAAAAATGCTTCTAATCCCCTATGTTACAAATATAAAATTGAAAATTAAGAGGAATTTTTTTTTTTTTTTTTTTTTTTTTTTTTGGATTAAGCCCAGAGCCTTGACACTGAGCTAAAATCCAAGCCCTTTAAATTCGTTTCCTTCCTTCCTTCCTTCCTTCCTTCCTTCCTTCCTTCCTTTCCTTCATCTTTGCATATCAATATCAACACGGTTGGTAGGAAAATTCAAGTCACAACTTTGTGCTCTCAAATAGACGTGGATCCTGCTTCAACACCTCTGGTGCCTTGTGTTGTTGA